TAATGCAAAGTCCTGGTCGACCGAAACCTGTTCTGGGAAGTGGATTCTAGAACGAGGTTTACTCTTGATCAAGTTTCTTTCGGAAGGAGCATCGGACCGTTGCTGAGCGTAGCTGTCCGGTCTCGATACCAATGCGTCTGCTTCTCTCACTTCTCCCGTCATCTCCTCCCTGTCTCCTCTCATTGTCTCTCCTGCTTTTTCCCCTTGTTCCTCTCCCTCCAGATCTGGAGAAGTGCAGCTCGGGCTGGGACAACTTCCAGGGGTCCTGCTACAAACATTTCTCCACCCGAAGAAGTTGGGAGGATGCGGAAACTCAGTGCAGGCGCTACGGGGGCCACCTGGCCAACATCATGACGCCGGAAGAGCAGGACTTCATCAACAGTAAGCAGCCTTGCCTTCCGAGATGGGGAGCCAGGCATCACTAGAATCATGGGGGGAGAGGGGGGCTTCAAAATCAGGAGAGTTTAAAACATAATACATGTGAGCTATTTTTGATGTGCCTTCGGGCTCCAGAAGCTAAAGAATATGCCAATGCTGCATTTCAAACTGTTGCAGCCGGCATAGGCACTGAGTTTTTCTTTTTCTCCAGTTTTTCTTTGCCTGCCCTTTCCCAAGGCCCTGCCCTCACTCTGTTTCTTCCCACCCTTGCTCCGACCCCTAGGCTCCGCCCTCCTCAAGCTCCTCCCCCAGCTGCCAAGTCACAGTGGGACTCAGGCTCTGATCCTCCACCCCCAGCAGGATCCTAGGTGCCCTGTGTGTTTGCTAACCTGAGTCAAACTGATTTCTGTGTGGACGGAACGGGGGGAAGGAGGCTCGATACCAGAGTGAGAGCCCAGCCTGAGGGTGCCGTGTGGACAGACCTTACACATTTTCAAGCTTTTCTCTGCAACCTGGGCGATTAGACCCTTTCCTTTGTTTCCTCGTGAAAGCTGGGGGCTTGTGTAGCTGAGCAAGTGACTTCAGGATAAAATAGGGTCTCAATTTACACCGCAGTAGCCTGCCATGCCCCGTGCCCATCTAGAACCTCCTGCCATGCCCTGAAAATTCCCTGGTGCACTTTATTCTATTCCCATTCCAAGCAGGCAGGGCTGCCGTTAGGGAGACACCGAATATGCAGCTGCAGGGGACACCACTACATGTGGTACACCAGGTGCTGCCAGGCGCTCGACTGGGCACGAGGCTGGTGGTGGAATCCCGGGGCTGGCAGCAGTCGGGAGCCCACATATAGTGTGGGGGGTGCTGCATCACTCCCCTGGTCCCCTGCCTATGGCTTCGTGCCCTGCCCCTGCCTCCCACCCCGGCAGCTCTGAGTTCAGCCCCTTCCCTATGGAGTGGCCGTTCCTCCTTTCCCTTCCCCTGCCTCCCTGCATAGGGCACCATGAACTGTAAGGACAGCCCTGAAAGCAGGGAACTCCCTCTGCAGCGTGGGAACCCTTCTCCCCTCCCCATCACAGCATTCCCCACTGTGAGTCTTGTGGCTTCCTGGCCTCCTACCGTGAGACATTAGCTAAGCCATAGGGGTGGCAGTAACAACCTGGACACAACCGAGAGAGCTGCTCTGTAGGCGTTTGTGGGGGCGGGGGAGGGTGGGTGCACGCAGACTTCTGCATGGGCACTGGCGCACCCACCTCTGGGATGTGCACACATATGCCTGTGGGTGCATGCAGGTGGGTGGGGAAGGGTCTCAGTGAAAGTGGCAGCAGACACAGAGAGATGCCAATGCATTCAGCAAAGGCTGGAGGAAAAACAAGCAACAAGCATGCAAAAGCATGGATGATAGATAGATAGATGGGATGGTGGGGATAGAGTGGGGGAGGAGTGTATGGGAATAGACAGACAGACAGATAGATAGATTGGAGGGATAGATAGATAGATAAATGGGGTGGATAGATAGACAGACAGACAGATAGATGGTGTGGGGGGATAGATAAATAGACAGACAGACAGACAGACAGATAGATAGATAGATAGATAGATAGATAGATAGATAGATAGATAGATAGATAGATAGATGGTGTGAGGGGATAGATAGACAGACAGATAGATAGATAGCTTGGGGGGATAGATAGATAGACGGGGGGAGGGTGTATGGGGATGGATAGATAGACAAACAGACAGACAGATAGATAAATAGCTAGCTAGCTAGATAGATAGGCGGTTTAAGAAAAGCAATTAGCAATTATGAAAATCCCAGGGAGGGAAAGAAAGACCAAGGGCCGGGATGAGAAAGGGCAGAGGACCAGCGAGAAAGCAGATGCTGTCGTGGGCAGAAAGCGATGCAGGGCAGGAGAAGGGATGGGAAAGGGGGAGCGAGGTGCTGCAGGTTGCTGCTGTCACTTGCCGGGTGAGCACGGGGCACGGGGCCTGCCCAGAGCGAGGGAGCCGGGCCGCTTGGCATGTGGGACAGGAGGAGGGGGAAGTAGATGGAGTCTGCTGCCCTCTCCTGGAAGGACCCATTGAAGCGAAATCCCTTGGGCTCAGCTGAGGGACACCCTGCTATGAAATCAACC